ACTAAAGCAGGCATTATTTGGCAATAAGCAAAGGGTTTCTGGTTGGTGTTCAAATAAGAGAGGTTTGATTTCTTTTTAATAATAGCAATTTTTATTTAAAAAAATGCAATAAATAACAGTCAGTAAATAACATTTAATTGTATAATTTCTGTAGATGTTGATGATCTCTCTATATTTTCAAGAATAACTTGCATACTAGCTGTTAAATATCATTGAAAATACAAAGGGAAAATTTCAACTTGGTGAATTAAAATCATGTTATCCTATGACTACCTAAAGATGACTTGATTTTAGTATTTCAGGCAATGGTTGGCCTTGTCAACAATACTTCCAATCAAACACAAATATCATGAAAATAGAAACTGTTCCTTTCTAAGAAATTCCTCTCATACTTAGGCAGGGTTTTACATGACAAACTTCAGTAAATCTGGTTGACAAGTCCACTGAAGTCTAAAATGAATTTCAATTCAAATTCAGCTAAAACTGGTTATGTTTGTTTTGAAATAAATCCACAACCAAAGAAAATACAAATCAGGCTGGTTTAAAATTTATTGACTTGAAATACATTTAAAACATAACAATGTTAATGATTTCAAGCTTACGTCACATACATAAGCTGCCCCTCTGGCTGGTAGTGTTTTCTGAGTAATCTAACATCCTACTAGCCAGATGAACAGGACTACAAAGCATGAAAATATACCTATGGAGTGACTCCACAACAGAAAGACCAACATGGAATGTAGAAAGGTTTTTCCATAAATCAAGAAGTAAATGAAATGAGTTAAATTCACCATAAATAAAGTACCTCTAGCCTGTAGTATTTTCTACGCCACCTAAGATCCTACCAGCTAGAGGTACACGACCAAGAAACGAAGATATTCATTAAAAAAGTGATGCTAACGTAGTGTTAGACTAAAATGGAATGCCAAAAGGTAAAATTCAAAGCAAACTGCAATAAAAATTGGGCAAAGTCAATTAAATATGCAAGCTGTACCTCTAGCTGGTAGTCTTTACGAAGCCTCTCAAAATCTTACCAGCTAGAGGTACAAGACCAAATAAAAAATATAAATATAAATGTACTCTTATAAAAAGTGATTCCAAAGAGTGTAAGACAACATTTTGGAGTGCAGAAAAGTAAAATGTGGAGCAAACCATAATAAAAATTGGGCAAAGTCCACTAAGTATGCAAGCTGTACCTCTAGCCAGAGCTAGAGGTACAAGACCAAACAAAAATAAAATAATATAAACGTATTCTTGAAAAAAGTGATTCAAAGGACTGTTAGACTAATTTGGAGTGCAGAAAAAGTAAACCGTAGTAATAGCTGAGCAAAGTTGACCAAATATGCAAGCTGTACCTCTAGCCGGTAGTAATTTTACGCCTACTAAGATCCTACCGGCTAGAGGTACAAGAAAATAGAAATTTCATCTTGGGGATCTTTCTAACCAGTAGCACTATGACAAGGGCATTATAGTGACGATACTATTCATAAGTTTCATTTACCTTTGCAAGTGCAGGTCTTAGCAGCTACAGTGATAAGCTAAAACTCTGCTGAACAAGAAACTTAAGATCGACGAGTGTGAAGGAAACAGCCATACAAAATTTAGCGAAATTTCCTTGATTTAAACTCAACAATGTATTCTTCACTTGTAATTATGTTATAATGTTAACGTCTGGTTCAGCTCTATGCCCTGTACTCTCATACAGCACGCTCTTTCAATCAATGACAGCGCGCGTTATATCCGAACTTTATTATAATGTTGTTTATTTCACGCGCTTGAGATGCACTTATACTCCTTGTCTTTGCACATGACTACATTTGCGCTTTTCTTATTGAATGAAAATCCTACCAGTTGTAGTTTCCATCGTATTTTGTTACCAGAAATACATAATTTGTGATAAAGTCAAGTCCTTTCCTGAACTGACTGATATCCTGCTGCGTGAACGGTGCGAAACCTCAGGCATAAACACAAGCTCGAAGGAGCCATGTATAATTCTAGCCTAAGTTTCCGAAAAAACATCCCACGAGCCATCAACTCCCCCCTGCACTCAAGAAACTAAAAGTAACAACAGTAGCAATGTCAATGTGACAACAGCACTACAACGAGATAAATAAACAAAGTTCTATCACATAAACTGCGGTGCTATACAGGGATTTCCGGCCCTAAAAAAAGCCGTAACACACGTGAAAAAATATTGTATTTTTTCGCTTGTGTTGATATAGCCAATCAGCTGCTGACACGTCACTTGCCTTTGGCGCCACTCAGTCAGGTTGATGAATGAATGGCAAAGCCTTCAAGATTCTCTGTGAAAGTTGTTTGTCAGAGCTTTCTCGAATTATGGCGGCTAAAACACTAAAAAATCTGTATCGCTGACAGACAGTGAGGTTCAAACATTCCTAGAAGAGGAAGAAAACCAAAATACTAGGAGAAAAACCGGAAGGTACGTATTCAGTGGCTTTGGTGTTAGCATTTCTCCCGGCTGAGAATGAAAATCGACAACTGGAAGATTTGCCACTAGCCGATTTTGGCCATTTACCTGAAAGACTTCTTCTGTCTGTTAGGACAAAGTCAATAAATGAGAATTTTGTTAATTGAAAATTACAACCATTGTGGTTTTTGTAATCATGATTCAACGCATTTTTCCATCTTAGGAGTTAGCGCCAACGCACTTTACGATTGTTATTCGGGGATTGTCGATTCATTTAGGGCCTGTTTACATGGAGGTGGGAGACCCCAGGTGGGTGAGGTAACCCGCCTAGGTGGGGTAACCCGCCTGTCCATATAATTTCTTATTTTATTTTGATCACGTTTACATGATAGGTGGGGTGACGCATTCATGGCAAAAAGCTCAAAAGCTAAACATGTATGTTTTAAAACTTTGTACATTTCCCAGCCGTCTCATGGAAGAAATCACCAGAAACCGGAACGGACACACAGGGAGCGCAAAATGTTCACATTTCGGAATATTTAGCGTTGTAAATCGACCATATTTGTCAGCCGGGGTGACAATTTGCCATGTAAATGTGCTAAGGTGGGGTAACCCGCCTAGCCGGAGTCGCGTTCCTGGCAAAAAGCTCTCTCATGCTTCTCATGTTCAACTTGCATCTCACTCGTTCGTTGCGCTCACTCGTGAGCTATCGAGTTAAACAATCGAAGAGAAATTCCATATCTACGCGCACCCATGTATTATTCTTTATTTATTGAATTAGATGATAGCGCGATTCCAAGCGCTGTGTGAAAGTTGATGGATACGAAATATTAATTTACAATACTGATGTCAGTTATTTGCCATTGACCGAAATGGGTCATATAGCAATGCTACACTTAAACTAAAGAAGTTTTCTCTCTTAAAATCTCTATTTAAGGTTAACTTGAATCAGATAAACTCACTTGTTTTCCGTTTAACCAGCTCGACGACGACAGCCTCACTGAGCCTTTGCAATCTTTGAATAAAGGAGCAACTTGTACAAAATCATCGTGCCTCGTGATACAGCTGATTCTTTCTTCAGAAGTTAGCTTGTGGTTTGCTAAGGGAATCATTCTACAGCAACGAAACTCTAGTGCGAAGGAATAAAATGTTATGTCAACAAAAACGAACACAACTACCATTCTTAACATATATTTCGCCATAGAAAACAAAACACATACGCAACAAACTAAACATTCAGTAACGGGAGCTTTATGTTCTAATTTTGACCTGAACACTGCACGCGAGAAACCGTCTTAGTCAGTCTTCGTCGAAATCTTCCTTTGATGCACGCGGTTCTCTTTCGTAGGGCTGAACCATACTCGCGATTTCCATTTCTTCTTTACCACTTAAGTACGATGTATCAAAACTCTCGGTAAAGCATGCTGAAGGTAGTTATACATCACCATCGAACATTATTTCAAGAGTGTTTCAACGCTGACTCATACAAAATTACAAGAGATGGTCAGAGATGTGAGAGATTTGTAATTGTCAACGGAGAGTTTTCACAGTTTTCTACGTCATCACCCGTTAATTACCAGTTTACGGGACACTTTTAAGGCAAAGTAAGAGCACTTTATGGCCCGAAAAAACCGAGTTTTAAGTTTTTTTTAAATCTTTCTTCTATCGGAATTGGTTTGTACATATAATAAGCTAATTGTTTTCGAAAAAAATTCGTATCATAGGCACTTTAAGCTTCAGTTAGGACCTAAGGACTAAAATTTCAACTAGTTGCTTTTCCGTTTCATAGGAAGCGAAGTATGCTCCAGAAATGATATAGTCCTATCGTTGCCATTGAAAAGAAATACAAAATTATGGCTATGAACGCGTTTTGAGATTCTGATGAAAAACCTAATCCTTCCGAAAATTGTCTTCAGTTCACCTCAAACTCGACCTTGAGCAATCTTGCGTAGCAGCCTGGCCGTTTAACTATGGCTTGTGTTTGGTGACCTTAAGTCTATCTTCTCTTCAATATAGACGAAATCGTCGGAAATCAGGCGGGAACGTTCACATTCGGACGGAAGCGTCGGAAATCACAGACTTTGGCTAGGATATCTAAACATAGCTAAGCCACTCATGCAAGAGTGAAAATTTTGGATCTATAGTGTGAGGTGGGACATTTTATGTTTTCTTTTTTGTAAAGTAAAAGAAGCACTAGCTCTCCAAACATTCCATCGTAATGAACTTATTACTTTTCATAAATCGTGAGCAAAAAAAAAAAGGGCCTCTGCCTTATCTTAAAAAAGCCTCGGACCAAAGGTGTTTTAATGTGTTTTCATGGAAATAAGTAGAATAGACCGCATGTTGTCAGGCTTTCTGCAGTTCCTCCGTCAGGTACAGTTATTTGCCTCGAAAATATCAATTCACATAATTTTTTAGAGAGAAAGTAAAACTTCAACATCACAAAATACTCAATAAACGCTAACCAAAGATATTGTTATTATCGCTTATTATCTCTTCCCATTTTAAAGTAAATCTCCTTGCTGTTGCAGATTTTCGTATTCACCAGACTGGAAACCATTCATGGGCAATGATGTCTTGCTCAACTGCAGCAAACTGGCAATCAAAAATCCTGAAGAAAGAGTACCAAAACTGGCTGGCTGTAGGCCACGCCCTTTCTCTTATGTGTGATGGGCTAAGGCCTTTCATCGAGAGGGAGATGAAAGCCTTTCATCAAGTGTTACTGGCAAACCTTGCCTCTACACCCCCTTGTACCTGTCGAAAGCCCCTAAAACACTCTTGTGCTTGGGCTAAACAGCTTTTAATGTACCATAGAGGTGGAAAACCAAGGTGGCACCAAAGCGACTCTTACAAGTGGACAGATCCAAACCTTGGTTACTGGGAGGTAGCCAAACTTTTCATGTCCGATTTGGGGAAAAGCGCTGTTAATGTGATAGACGCGAGTAGTACTGACTGCACGGGATTGACCAATCTTCTGTTCTGGTGTTCCCTCTTTCCCGTACAACACCATCTCGTTGAAGAGGTGCGAAAGACGCGAAATACCAGATGGGGACACGCTCCGAGACAGGAGCTAACAGATGGAGAAAAAGCAGGTGCCCTTGCAGCGATAAGAAATCTCCTTCAAGATCCGAACTTAATTTCTGACAATGGCGCTAAAGCGGCTCTCGCAGAGATTGACGCAATGGAGAAGGATTTCGATGCACGTAGTATTGAAAGGAAAGTTCTGGCAGATTTCCAAGAGACAGTGTGTGGTCAACTGGATGACATTGAAGGGGAAATTAAGGCCTTCAAGAAAGACTGCAAAGGTGTAAGCAACAAGATACAGAAGAAACTGCTGAGTTTGCAAACACGACAGACGAAGGTCTTTAAGCTTCTGAAAAGTATTGATGACAGAATGGAGGACGCCGCAAATCGAAACCTTTCGTATGTAACACAAGTTTCAAACCTCGTCAAATGGGTGTATACAAGGGGAAGGCAGTTTGTCTGTGACAACGTTCGCAGCATGAATGCTAAGTCCGTCGCTCTATGGTTGCTGTTAATGGTACTCCTGAGTTGCTTTACATGTTTAAGTAAGAACTCTTACAACGATGGTGAGTTTTGACTCTGTCAGCTACCTTCAGTAATACACCACATTTGTTTTCAATTACTTATTTGTTTACGATCGAATGGGGAAGACCGGATAAAGGTTTTAAGCACGATATGGACGAGCTGCTAATTTGATTATCTAACCAGAAGAAAATCAATACAAATGAAAAGAATGAGAATAAAGAGGAAAGCTTTCTGTTCGAGTTTCGGTAAAGATGACGAATTAGGACCGTTCAAACAACTCTTATCTGTGTTTTGCTTTATCCAGTAATTCATTTCATGATAGCTGTCTACTACAAAAACAATGTTGTCTACCCTTTACAGCAGTTCATCTAAGTGGTCGATCATGAGAGGCGAAGTGAGTGGTTAGGTTGATTTGTTGGACACTGAGAACGAGGTTAACTCCCATAAGTGACCAAGATAGAATTTCTCCCTATAATATCTATGCAATATCAAGCAGACAAGTGATGATGATAAATAAAAACATCAATGAGAGTATGATTAGTTGATCCACTACCAAATCCTCCAAACAAACGTAGTGATAATGATACGGCAAACAGCAAGGAGAATAAATAATAATATCTTGGGAGTGAAAGGGTTAAGAAGACTTTATGTTGACGAGAGAGGAAACAAATCCTTATTCGAAATAAACATTTTAACTCTCAACGCAATTGTTCTTATTTTAGTTTTTCTTTTCAGGGTGCCCGATTGAAGATGGTTTTGTTCCTTTTGAAAGTAAGGAATTCAATTTCACAAGCTACTTGAGTAATGCCCGAGAAAGATTCACTGGACGGCTCTGGCTCTACAATGAACTGGAAACAAACTTGATGAAACAAGATACCGATCGTGGGGTTATAGTTATCGGTGAGCCAGGCGCAGGAAAATCTGCGCTGACTGCCCAACTGATCTGTTCTCGCTCATCTAATCCTTTTATTCACAAAAGAATCATTGGTTACCATTTATGTAAGCACGCAGACAAAGCAACTCAGGACCCTGGTCGATTTGTTCGCAATTTAGTCGACTTGATGGCCAGAAGAGTTCCAGAATATGGAATGTTGATCTCCAATAGCTCACTCATCCTTTCAGTTCTAGAAGGAAGTTGTGTAAGAGATCCGTTTGAATGCTTTGAACAGGCTCTAATGGCGCCACTTTTGCAATTAAAAGGTGAACCTCAATTCTATTTTATTGTCATAGATGCCTTAGACGAATGCTCGTCAGACAACGGAGGGACCTCAATAGTTCAGTTTATAAGAGAAACGTCCAGTAAGCTTCCAAAATGGATAAAGCTGGTAATGACTTCTCGTAATGACTCAAATGTCCTAAGACATTTCAGTCATGTCCCCAAAGTGTATATGTCCTCCACAGATCCTCGAAACTTACAAGACATCGAGATATTTATTACCACTAAACTATTCGAAGAGGCGCCGATTCTCCATAGGCTGAAAGCAGCATTAGGATTCAGTAGTGGTGAAGAGATTTCTTTTCTGACGAGGAAGTTATTGAGTCAGAGCCAGGGGAATTTCCTTTTCGTGAAAGAAATGTTCCATTTTTGGGAAGACGAGTTCAGCAATGACGCAGACTTGAAGCAGCTCCCAAAAACGATTGGTGGGATATATGAGAATTACCTGAAAAGGGTTTATGGTTCCCGAGAAAAGTTTAAATCCGCTTTGGCTATTCTGGAGATCATGGTGGCTGCATTTGAACCAATGCAGGTTGATCGTGTATTCCAGGTTTTAAGAATGCAGGAGAACATCGACTACGAATATGACTTTGTCTACGCGTTAAAAGATCTTTCACATTTTATCAGATATGAAGAAGACAACACCATCACTATTTTCCACCTTTCCTTTACGGAGTGGCTCACAAGCAGTGAAAATATTGGCAACCCATACTATGTTAGTCGGAAACACGGTCACGGAAGATTGGCCAAGTACTATTTAAGTGTTGTCAAAAAAAACCAGAACTCAATGGACATTTACCATTTAGCACATCACATAAGTTTTTGGGAGGGCGACGAGAATTTCCTCGAGGAGTTTGGAAATATCAATGCCTCTTACATAAATGCCTCCATCAACAGTGATAACAAAACCCTTCTTCACCTTGCCGCAGAAGATGGCAATTTAAAACTTCTTCAGCTACTTGCTCCTGCGTTTGAGAGTATTGACTGTGAGGACAATTATGGTTTTACTCCATGCTTCCTCGCTGCGAAAAAAGGTCTCAAAGAAAACGTTGAATTTCTCATTAGCAGAGGAGCTAACACCGACCACCGAACTAAGCCACCACCTCCAATACGATTTGTAAGGGAAATTTCTCCTTTAATGTTTGACGTAGATCCCCTTGAACGAGCTAAAACAGCTTTCTGGAACTCCACCATGATGCATGCAGCCGCATCAGGAGGTCATGCCGCCGTGATACGAGCTCTTCTCAAAAGGAATGCTTCGTTTCACGATGTGAACGGTGCTAACCTGACGGCCATCCAGCTGGCGGCACAAAATGGACACTTAGATGTTGTCCAAATTTTGTATTTTAAGGGGGCTGATGCAGACCATCTTTCTCTTCAACTTGCCGCTCACGGCGGTCACCCGCATGTTATAAAGTTTCTCTTGAAGACTGGTTTGATGGATACCTGCTTGCGATGTGATGGCTCATTTTATTGGCTCGGAAACAAAGTAAGATACCAAGCGGCCTCTTGGTATAACTCTACTGGTCTGCATAGGTACATTTTATCTCACGACAATTACAGAATTGAATGCCAAAGTGCACTTCATTTGGCAGTCGCAGGAAAACACACAGAGGTAACTAAACTGCTATTGTCCATGAAATACACGGCAATCCATTGCAAAGATTTCACTGGTCGAACCCCACTTCATGAAGCAGTGAGGCAAAATGATTTGGAAATAGTAGAGCTTCTCATAAGAAGTGGTGCCCGAATTTCTCAAAAATGCATGGAATTCCAAAATTTATCTTCCTCTCGTAGCTCCGAAGAGAAAGGTGGTGGAGAACGAATAGTGTTTCTCAATAAAAGAGAACAAGCAGAGTACTATAAAGATCTGTGCCACTGTGGTACGACACCATTTCTTCTTGCTGCAAGATATGGTGCAATTGAGGTGGCATCTCTACTCTTGCGCTATGGCGCAAGGCCTGACGATGAGGATTGCCAAGGGGCCATGCCACTTCATATTGCTGCGTGTCATGGCCATTACGATTTTATTGAATGGCTTCTTTCTCAAAGACCTTCTATTCATATTAATATAAAAAGTAAAAACCTCTCAACACCGCTTCACAGTGGCGCCATTTGCAATATCAACAAGGACATCAAACCGTTACTAGACATGGGCGCTAGCATTTATGAAATTGATGAAAACGGAATGACACCAATGCACTACGCTGTGGTCGACAATTTTGAAAAGTATTCAAATTTGATTTTTGAATTTGAGGAACTCAGCAGTTCATCATTTATCACAGTTTGGGGCCCAGAAGGTGACATTACGGTAACGCATGATTCTTACGTTTCTAGGGCTGTACCGTTGAGCTTTCAGTGTCTAAAGCTGATCGAAATCATTAAATCATCAGGTGCCTCATATATAAATGAAATGGATACAAGTGGAAAAACAGCACTACATCTCGCGGCACGAACAGGGGAGGAGTGTTGTGTCCTACAGCTTCTGAAAAATGGGGCCAGAACAGATTTAAATGACAAACAAGGGAAAATCCCACTTGACTTTGCCATGGAATTTGCGACTAAATTGTTTTATCCCAGAATGGCGAACCGCAGTGATGAAAAGATAAATTTTGACCTGATTCTAGCCTTGAACAGAAGGTATCATAATTCAGTAGCTGATATCTTGCTCTCTAGAGAGTACAACCTGTCCCAGGCGTGCAAAGGAAATAGAACTGATCTGTTGCATCGTGCGTTTGAGAAGCAACAGCCAATCATTGCTTACCTATTACTATCAAAGGGCCATAGCCTTAGCTGTAAAGATGCACAAGGTCGATCCCCACTGTTAATTTATTTGCAGAATGGTGGCGAATGGCTGGACGTTGTTTTAAGGCGATTTGATGTACCTATTCATATCGAATGTGGGAAGCCTTTTAACCAGTCGGAATTGCATATGCTAGCGTTTAGACAGCCGACTGTGGCTACTGACAACCTTCTTGAGTACCGTACCTATGATGATTTATATTACTTTGAAGAGGATGGACCCCTTTTGAAAGCAATTCAGGCTCATCCGTCAAAATTCCGCGTCGTGGACGAGTGTCGTGACGCTGAAGGATACTCAGCATTACATAGGGCTGCTCAAGGAGGCAACCTATTTTTCATTAAGAGGTTTCTTTCCTGGGGAGCCGATCCGAAAATACTAACTTCTCAAGGGCACAGCTCTTTAGAACTTTCCATCATGTATGGAGGGATAAGCCATTATCTATCAAGTCTACCCACACACACTGCGGAGAGAGCTGTAGATCTTTTGTTTAAAGCCACAAAACGTTCTTCACGTTTTGATGTTGGATGTAATAGAGCTCAGGAAAAACTAACAATATATCACTTGGCAGCTTACAGAGGTCTGATTGGCTTTGTCAAAACTCTTTTAAATGATCGAAGCATAAATGGCATTGATGTTAATTGTTCAAATGTGCATGGCATAACACCTTTGTACCTTGCCAAACTGTACTCTGGGACAGAGGAGCCTTCTGAAGGCAAAAGGGATCGATGGCAGGAAGTCGTTGATTTTATCACGAAATCGGGTGGCATCCTTACCTTTCCTAATCGAGAAGTGGAACTTAGCCTAATTTATAGACATCTCTATGGAAGCCATCCCCATTCATTCACTTTGGATGGCTTTGAAAAAGGTTGCGAGCAATTCTATAACAGCGATTTTAGCACATGCAGCGAAGATGAGTTGAACTACCATCGTACTGGTGATCCAATAAACCCGCACATGAAAAATGTTATGAAGGAACTACTGCGGATAACGAATCCTTCAACTACTAGAGACAGAAATGTTCAACTGGTCCCTACGGATCGAGACGTAGTACGGGAAACTCTGAATAATCTAATTGTTAGGTCAAAAGCTTTGAATGATTTATCCAATTTGTTTCAAGACGTCATGGAGGGGCACCGTCGTACGAACCAAGCAATCAGACAAAGAATGTTATCCACAAACGAATCAGCAGTTCTCTTAATAAAGCTTCCAAAGCTCACTGAACAACCTGATATTATAAGGAATCTGCAGCTCAACAAGAAAGAACTAGCTTACCTAGATCAATTACTTCGTTATATGCGCTCCAGATATGAGTCAGAAAAATCAATCACATCCCACGAGATGGTACACCTGAAGAATATTGCACACAGGCATAGTGAGTTCTTTGGAGATGTAACGAAGCTTGTAAAACTCATAGAAAAACACGAAGAAAGTGAAACATGCCGAAATGAGATTTTCCAAGCGAAAATGATATCATTTAAGTTTCGCTTGTATGTTTTAAATTCCAATATCGATGACCTTATAACACTAAAACGAAGTCGCCTCGAAAAAGGTGAATTTCTCTCTAAAAGAGTCCCATCCCAGTGGATAAATGCAGAGTACACAAACGGCTGGGCTCCAGCTGTAAAATTTCTCTACAGACAGGCAACTCAAGAATATTTGGGTTTTGATTATCTAAGAAACCTTACAGTGGGATATGACAAGGACACACGGATTCCACTGAGCGTGGACGCCTTGTATTTACTTTCACTGCAACATCGGACTCGGGGCTTCGTCTGACTGTAATGGTTCAAATAATTACTGGAAGTTGTGATAAGTCACGAGTTATTCAAATAAGATTAACTGAATTTTATTTGGTGATAGATGAACTTATAAGAATGTAAACTAATCATGGTCTTTACCTTGAAAACACATCATCATTGTAATCGTATGAGGTGATAAAATATTGACTTAGCTTGACCTTCATCTTTGTAAAACTAGTTTTATACAAAAAATGACAGCCATACAAATCAATCCTATTTGTGAAATGTAAATTCGCGAGTGTAAGGATAAACTTTTGACCCCAAGTACCTATGATTGCAGTTTTTATATGTAATCGCTCGTTGAGAAAAATGATTGCATAAATTAGGCTTGATTGTTGTCAGAGATGTCAATCTTTCCTGTAGTACGCTTTCTTTATGCTTTCGTGCGAACATCTAAATTTATTCCAGTGCATCATTTTCGGCTAGTTTTGTTTCAACTTGCTACTAGGTTACTGCTCAGATAAGAAATTAATGAAGTGAAATATACTTTTTTTGGACAAGCTATTGTGAGCCTAATGAAGATTGCTGGCCTTGATCGCTCGAATCATGGATTACCTCATGCCTATCAACATTCACATGTAAAAAAAATAAAATGCCCTTCCAATCCAAGGTTAATGTGGCGGGAAATTGTGCACCTTTTGTGGTGTTCCTTGTAGCTGGCAATTGACATTAAAAAAAAAGTCCAGTGTTTCCGATTACAGTTAAGATGTTTTTATGTCAATTACATTTTATCATAAATAGAAAAGACAATGCCATCACCATTTTCCACTACTCTTTTGAGGAATGGCAGCGCAACCATTGGAAGCCCGTACGGTCACAGACGACTGACAGAGTACTTCCTCGGTGTAATAAAAATGTCTCTGCGTTAGATTTGTAGATGATGACAAAAACTTATTCGAGAATTATTTGATTGTTTCAGCTTGACCTTGTTACAGTAACATAGAATTTTTAATGGACTAGATTAGGCTACAAGACCACTAACGACGCTGGACGATTTCTCGAAACTCTTACTCGTTACTGGCTCACGACCCATGCGCAAGAACAGGTCGATTCGATAGTCGCTCCGTTAAGGTAACACTGTTTATATTGGTGTAAATTTCGAATATCTGATTGAAACGAAATACAAATTTCCAAATCACCAATGAATGGTGTTTATCAGAAAATAACGGAATCTAAATCGATAGAAGGAAAATAAAACTCAACACACAATTTTGTGTATAAGCCTTGTAATATCAACTCTCATTTCTGCTAGAATATTTTACATTATTCACGCAGAACTTTAAGGTTCCGTCAACGGAGGGCCTTGACATGTAATTTCCTTCTAATGCAAAAAATCTACTGGAAAGATTCCTCTCTATGCAATGCAGCCACACTCTGTTTCACTATCTTCGAGAAACCACTGCAAATAGAAAAAAAGCAGGTGATATTAAGGTTACTGTCAACAAAATGCTCAAAATTTCGTTTTGCTCATTTTGTTTACATCCCGTCTTGCACTGCACAACAAAAGGGAACTTCTGACACATTTCGCAAAACGTTGATAGATAGGCGAGCGCCAAAGAAATCGAATTTGATTTCTCTTTTTTCCCTAGCTTGCCTTGCCTACTTTTCCTTCTGATTTTCCCGATGAATTTTCGATTTCATGTAAGTCGCGTTCCCCGTTTCCCACGAATTTCAAAGAAGTTCTTTGTCACGAGACTTGCCATAAAGGGTAGAGGGGAGAGAGTGCGATATTGCGTTTTATTTTTTGTTCTACAAGGATTTACGGCCCTGAGAAAAGCCGTAACAACACACGTTAAAAAATATCATATTTTTTCACGTGTTGATTTAGCCAATCAGCTGCTTACACGTCACTCGCCTTTGGCGCCACTCGGTCAGGTTGATGAATGAACGGCGAAGCCTTCACGATTCTCAATACAAGTTGTTTGTCGGAGCTTTCTCGAATCATGGCGGCTAAAACACTAAAAAATCCGTATCGCTGGCTGACAATGAGGTTCAAACTTTCCTAGAAAGGGAAGAAAACCAATATACTAAAAGAAAAACCGAAAGTTTCGTATTCAGTGGCTTTGGTGTTAGCATTTCTCTCGTCTGAGAATGAAAATCGACAACTGGAAGATTTGCCACTAGCCGATTTTGGCCGTTTACCTGAAAGACTTCTTCTGTCGGTAAGGACAAAGTCAATAAATGAGAATTTTGTAAATTGAAAATTACAACCATTGTTTGTAATCATGATTCAAGGCATTTTTCCATCTTAAGAGTCAGCGCCAACGCACTCTACGATTGTTATTCGAGGATTGTCGATTAATTAATTTTCATTCATTACTGAAGTCGCCTTTTCTTCCCAGTAAAGGGCTATTGTTTATATGATAAACAAAATAATACACAGTTGCTTGTAGATATGGGATTTCTCTTCTCGTGATCAACTCGACATCTCACTCGTTCGCTGCGCTCACTCGTGAGTTACCGAGTTAAACACCCGAAAATAAATTCCATATCTACGCGCGCCCATGTATTATTCTCTATTTATTGGCCGGTGGCATGATCGCATCGACACGCGCTTAAATGAGGTGCAAAAACTGAATTTCTTTGAAGGCCAAAAACTCGACGTTTCGTCTTTGCGCGAGTTACCTCCGCTTAAACAAATTAATAGGGTATGTGGATTTGTTAAATTTTCATGAAAATTGGTCAGAATGTTTGTCAGATGTTAACGCACCAAAGTGTGTGAGGCTTTATGGAAATTCGAAATATTTCTCTCGTAACGTCCCAGAGAGTGACAACAACCGAAATATTCTGTTTTGTCCAACTTCAAAATAAATTTCCTCAGGAACCAACAGGAATATTAAAAAGGGCTCTCACACTTTGTTAGCCTATTATCTGCTGCGTGATATTGTCCAGTTTGTTTCGAGGTTCGCGGTAAAGTGGTAATTCAGTAAAGCAAACACCGTCAGTGTTGTGTTAAAACGCTCGCGCGCGCTTACAAAATCTGAAAAAAAACCCATTAAAAACCATTATTATTCCCATAATCTATACTTTATAAGCTTTACAGTGATGTGCAATTTTCCGTGGTTTCTTTAAATGTACCGCGCGTAGGAAGATTTTTCCGGAAAGCATACTATTTTGTTGACAGTAAGCTCGAGTGCTTACGCAGGTCACACGCTGTGTATTAAGGTCACACGCTTCTGCCTAATGTAGTGCGGTAACTAAATGAGAGGAAGTGCCTCGTGTATCTCAGAAGGGCGAAGGGAGACACAGCGTCGGTAAATATTGGGTTCAGCATTCTTTTACCCTAGGTTACGTTGATACTTTACTTTTCATCCTTGTATATCCTGAAGTAGTAGTCTACAAAGTCGCTTCTCCCAAGATTTTCTACAAATTCTTCATCATGAGTGATGATTACAAGTTGAAAGTTTCTCTGCAGATGTCTGGTTCTGATGACGCTGAAACAATTTAATGAGATCCAGGTAACGATATGAGTAAGACTGGCTCAATGACTCTCCTTAACATTTAGCCCATAAGAGTGACAGAAATCTAATTTCTCCCGACAGCGTCACTTCTGAATGCAACATTATGTTCATGAGAACTAAAGAAGTGATTGTTACCTAAAGAAGCTATTGATTTACAGTTCTCATGATACTGACAAGGACAGTTCTTCATTTTTTGAAAGGGAACCCACATCACAAAATTTGGGTCCTGTAGAATCTTATGACATGATTGAAATTAAAAACACACACCCACAAACTGAGATGACTCGAGAACTGCCTATAGACAATTGCGGGTAGCTGATCAAAACAAATCTATCAACGATGAAGCGATAAAAATCGTGTAAAAGATCGAAACACTAAACTTTTAAACAGCATCGTAAAATGAACAGTTTTGTAAAGAGAAACTCACGCTGCCAATTGGTTAGCAAGACTCTCTATGTTATCTTCATCCAAATTTGTGGTCGGCTCGTCGAGAGTTAAAATGCCGCAGTTCAAACAGAATGTTTCTGCTAGAGCTAATCTGATTATCAACGATGCCAGAACCTGTGAAAGCAAAAATAGCAGGGGACGAAAATCTAAGAGAGGGTTTGTAAAAGGTAAAAAACGAAATTCAAAGAAATTTTTCCCAACGGTCTCTGGTTAAATATACTGTACCAGAAAAACACAATCCTATATCCTTCAGAAAGTCAAAGGTCACTTCTCATTCGTCGTACACTATTACGATTTCGAAGTTCAAGGGAGGAGTAGAAAAGAGAGAGAACAAAAGCATTTCAAGGTGACAGAGAGCATCAAAACTTTACTGACTTGGGTGGCTTGCCACTACGTCAATTCTCCAATGCAGCTAAATTGACAGTGTACAAGAAAAAAAAATGTAGAAAATATGACACAGGCACACTTCAGATATAAAGAAAACAGAAAAAAAGGTTCCAATGCAATCGTTCGATGGACGATTGCCGCCAGTTGCCGCCGAGATTGAAAGTTCAACGTGTTAAGGATTTGACTTCTATAAAAATGTATACGAAGTTGATGTCTCGTGAGGTCTTATCTCAGTGTAAGTTTTCGATTCAAGCCACCAATGCTCAGACACTGCTGCGATCAAAAGCAATAAGCGAACAAACAAACCTTTTGTCCAGCGCTACAGCGTCCTCTCATGTCCAGTGCTGTGTCTCCTTTAACCATAACCACCTGATAAAACAGTGAAGTGAAAACAATTAATTAATGCCGAGGGACGACAAAGCTGAATGTGCTTGCACTCCTTACTTGCTCGCTTGTGAATCCATCAACATAAATCGTTACAAATATCCACCAACCACCAGAAGTGACCAAAAAATACAACATCTCCAGCAATTTCAATACATTATCTAGCGAAAAAGTGATTAGAATAGACCATCTTATCAGACTCTCCTAGATAATTAAGTAAAACTTTAAAGAAGCCTGAGAGGATACTAGTCAGAATATCCGTAGTCCTCTGATACGATGGCGAGACTATTTCACATAA